ATAGCAGCACGTCGTTCCTTGCGCAATCACAGTCCCACATTCGTTCATCATGAGGGGAAGTTCGTCAATAATGGTGCTGAGTGCGCTGTCGGTGGGTGTAATTGGTGGTGTAGTGTCAAAGCCCTACGAGATGAATAGTAGTAAGTACATGGAGTGGTTGTTTGGGTGTTTGCGATTTACTAACCTTGATAGCTACCATCGTTGGAGCACTACGACCGCACGTACATGCTACTGGACTACCAACACCGCCATACAGTTTATCAACATTAATATCAGAGCCCAGCTCAGTCGTCGTCGTCCCATACCCGATTCCATCACCATCAAATACAACCCTTGTCGCCGCTCCTCCCTCGTTATCAACTACGTACGCGGTATCCAGTCCCTCACCAGAAGCAACACAAGTGGCACTGCCAATATCAAGTTCGCTCAATGCCACTACTCAGAACTCAACATACATATACCCATCGCTATCGGGCTCAGCAACCGTCGTCTCGCCGGCTTCGGTTCCCACTCCAGGCTATGTGCCTATAGTAGTTGAAGTTGTCTGTGAGACAGTATACTACTCAGCATCGCCAAGCTCTTCAGTTGCTTCGACTGTGGTAACCCCCAGCGCTACTCCCTCGTCAGGGTTTGCCAGCATCCATCCTGGTCTGGCAATAGCTGCAGTTGGTCAAGCTGATGAGCCTGCTGCTTCTGCTTCCATCAACCTTCCGCTCTTGTCGTCGATCTTAATACCCGATGTCAACCACCAAACTATCTTCACTACGACTACCACCACGACAACCACTGTCATTCTGACGCTACCCACTCCGCTACTCCCGACCTCTTCAAACGTCGAATCTACTGCATCAGCGACAACGACAACGACTGTGGTTACACTCACGTCTGCTTCCGCATCGGTATCAGCAGACCTGCCCGTTTCGACATCAACAAGCGATTCGGAAGAAACATCATCATCGCCAACCGACTCCGCATCGACCATCCTCTCCACCGTCACCGTCACATCCTCAACTCCATCACCACCCTCCAACACCGACACCGCCTTCCCCACCGCTCCACCATTCTCCTACAACCCCTCCGCCTCTCGTGGCTCCGCATCTCCCATCTCGCGACCCACCCCCGAACCCTCCAGCGCCCTCGTCGCCGGCTCGACGCTCAGCACCGCCACCACACCTAGCTCAACCTCAACACGCATCTCGCAATACACCGATGGACCACCTGCACCCCCGGCTGCCACCGGAGGTGCGAGTGGTATGCTGAGTGACAGGAGTAAGGAGAGGGTTTGGTGGGTTGCGTTTTTCGTTCCTTTGTTGCTTTTGGGGTAGAGTATGACGTGTGAGAGAAGTGTAAGGAAGAGAGGACGATTACGATTCTCATGTGTTTATTATGATGATATTATTTAATGTTTGTATGAGTAATTAAGGGAGATTTGAGATGGGATGCAATGGGATGGGATTGGGGAAAGAGGAGGATATACCAGGTTTTATGGCGCATGCATGGCGTTTATACTAGATTAGGGGCCTTGGGTTTGATTTCAGATGGGCAATCATCTACGCGGTATGCTACAATGATTTTCGAAGCGCTTTAGATGTTAGGGGAGTGTTACATAATGTTCAATGAAGATGTCAAGTCAAGCAACCATGCCATGCACTGGGTTCCAAATTTGCGACGTCATCGAGCTCACATTTATATGCAGCAACGCTGCGACGCTTACGGATCTAGTCCCTAGTTTCCGAAAGAACAAGATCAGTACATCAAACTATGTCCAAAAAGTTCAACAACTGAGATGATCCGGGGTTGAAGTGCGGAGAGCGTTGTTCGTTGGAGATCAGAGCGGGGGAAACGCGCCTTGGCTAGCGCAAGCCACCATTTCTTCCGTCAATCAAACCTCATGTTTCACACACTCGACATCGCTTTCTTCGCTTCGCTTCCACGCGTAAAGTCGAAAATGCACGCGTCTATAACGAAGATGCGATTACAGCAAGCCTTCCGATCTGCACCGGATGTACGCTCGAAGAGTTAACACGCGTCACATGCAGCCCAACAAGCTGCGGCATCATTTCGGTTGGGAAGTATGACATAGATCATCGCCCATTGAACCGGTACCTCAATATACAATGAGCATCTCGGGTGAAGATTGTCCGCAGCTCCTCCAGGAGTCTGCATGCACCCCATCCAACGGCCCGTAGACCCTGGAGAGCATCTATAAGACTTACGATACATTGTCTAGAACCTAGTATCCGGGCGAGACTGTACTCACACGGTGTACACTCCATACCATCATGCGGCAATTCTTCTGCGGCTCAGCCTCCCTACTTGCTGGGTGCGCTTTGCTCCTTCCTTGCAGCGCATACGACCTGGTTCGCAGACAGCAAGCAGCGAATGCGACCTACAAGGATGCTTCCGCACCGGTCGAGGACAGAGTGGCGGATCTTCTTTCCCGGATGACTATCGAGGAAAAGACAGCTCAGCTCATTCAGGGAGATATCTCGAATTGGATCAACACCACCACCAACGCTGTCAACGAGACAGGTCTGGAATGGAACTTCCGCGTCCGCGCGGGTCAGTTTTACGTCGGCTATCCTATACCTGCGGAATGGATCAGCAATGGCGTCAAGATTGGTCAGGACTATCTTCTGCACAACACGACATTGGGCATTCCAGCAATGGTTCAGACGGAAGCTATACATGGTTTGCTTGTCGGTAATGCGACCATCTACAACAGCCCAATTGGGCAAGCATGCTCGTGGGATCCGCAGCTGATACACGACATGGCTGTGGCGATTGCGAAGGAGTCGGCTCCTCTCGGCATCAATCAGCTGTTCGCTCCACTCGCGGATCTGGCGCGTGAGCTGCGTTTCGGAAGAGTGGAAGAAACGTACGGCGAGGACGGTTATCTAGCCGGCGAGATGGCATACGAGTATGTCAAGGGAGTGCAAAGTCTGAATGTCAGCGCTACGGTCAAGCACTTTGCCGGGTTCAGTAATCCAGAGCAAGGTCTCAACACCGGACCAGTCCATGGAGGCGAACGGGAGCTGCGAACCACGTGGCTGCCGCCTTTTCATCGAGCTATCATGGATGCTGGTGCCTGGAACATCATGGGTGCTTATCACTCTTACGACGGAATACCTTCAATCGCGGATGGCCATATGCAAGAGACAATTCTCCGCGAGGAATGGGGTTACAAGTACTGGCTCACTTCGGATTCGGGCGCTACAGACAGGCTGTGCTGCAACTTCAAGCTGTGCCAATGCAAGACAGAAGACACGCCAATCGATGGTGAAGCGGTGACGCTCATGGCTCTACCAAACGGCAACGACGTGGAGATGGGTGGAGGCTCATACAACTACGCAAACATCCCGCGCCTGGTCGAAGAAGGCAAGCTAGACATCGAGATCGTCGACCGAGCCGTGAGCCGCCAGCTCCGAGCGAAGTTCGAAATGGGTCTCTTCGAGAACCCATACAAAGGCCTCTCCACAAACGCGACTGAGTCCATCATCCACCCTGAAGAGCATGTGCAGCTTGCGAGGACACTTGAGGCTGACTCCATCGTCTTGCTCGAGAACAAGAACAGCACCTTGCCTCTCTCCAAGTCTGCGAACATTGCTGTCATTGGCCCCATGGCCAACATCACTAACCTTGGAGACTACGTGGTCTACCGCTCTCAGTACAATCCTACCAACGTTACCCCATTGCAGGGCATTCAGAATGCAGCCAGTGGCACTGTGACGTACGCCCAGGGTTGCGAGCGCTGGTCAAATGACCAGTCCGGCTTCCCCGATGCCGTCGCTGCGGCCGAGGCTGCAGATGTCGCAGTAGTCGTCGTCGGCACCTGGTCACGCGATCAGCAAGAGCTCTGGCAAGGCCTAAACGCCACTACCGGTGAACACGTAGACGTCGCATCACTCAACCTTGTTGGCGCCATGGGCGAGCTCGTCCAAGCCATCATCGAAACCGGCAAACCCACCATCGTCGTGTACTCCTCCGGCAAGCCCGTCACCGAACCCTGGATCTCCGACAACGCAGCCGCGCTCCTCCAGCAATTTTACCCTGGTGAGCAAGGCGGCAATGGACTAGCCGACGTCCTTTTCGGCGACGTCACGCCCTCCGGCAAACTCTCAGTCTCATTCCCTTACGACGTCGGTACCCTGCCAATTTACTACGACTACCTCAACTCCGGCCGCGCCACCGACGCCGGAGCCATCCTACCAAACGGCACCCTCCAATTCGGCCACCAATACGTCCTCAACAGCCCCCAGGCACTATACGAATTCGGTTACGGCCTCTCCTACGCAAACTTCACTTACTCCAACGTCACACTCTCAAAGACCGAAGTCAGCCCCAGCGACACCATCACTGCGACCGTGACCGTAACGAACGAATCAGAAGTAGATGGTAAGGAAGTAGTGCAGGTCTATGTGCAAGATGTTTTTGCTAGTGTTGTTGTGCCGAATAAGGAGCTCAAGGGCTTCAAGAAGGTTATGGTCAAGGCGGGTGAGACTGTGGATGTCAGTGTTGAGTTAGATGTGGCGAAGTGGGGGCTGTGGGATAGGAAGATGCAGTATGTGGTTGAGAAGGGGGATTTTGTTGTGCATGTTGGGGCGAGCTCGATGGATTTGAGGGGGAATGGGACGGTTACTGTTGTTTGAGATTGCGTGTGTTGTGTAGTTGGGGTCAGAGAAGACAGCTCGATTTGACACTGGCCGTTCACACCATGGTAATGCTAAGACTCCGTACGAGTAACGAGTATCGCCGATTTGGGAAGTCACCACAACCACGTGACTGCGCGCGTCGCTGTGCGACCGAAAGATACGCTAAATGGGGTCTGTGCGGCAGCAAACGGGCGTTGATGGGGCGCTGCTCTGTTTTGATTCTCACTTATTCACTCTGCTCTCATAAGTCTTTGATCTCAATTCCCTCTTTTGGATGGTCAATTGACTTTCGTCTCCTCCATTTCACCTTGCCAGCGGTTGCGGTACTGCGTGTTCGGCATCCGCAAGATGGCCCACGAAACGCCATGGTTGTGGGACGCAGACGGCAACGTTGACGACTTCTCAGACGACGACGATGGTCTCCACCTGGACCTGAACACTGATCTTATCGGCGTCAAACGTACTACAAAGGATCTCAACATCGTGAACGCTTACAGACCGAAGTGGACATGCGTTGAAGCCTTCCGCGAGTCCTACCAAAATTGGTAAGTCTATTCGCTGCAATTCTCCATATGACAATCTCTAATTAGCGACAGGAGGGACGGCATTCTGAGATCCTTCGACCTTGACCAGTCCCGATTCCAACCTACGTACACCGAGAAAGGACAAGAAATCCTCATCGAGGCGCGCCACCCAGATAACGATAATCTCCTTGGCTACATTCACTTCAAAGGTGACAAGGATGGTAACTGTGTGGGAGGTCTGAAGGTGGTCAACTTCGAAGCCACCCTCAGATTTTCTGATTTAGGCACGGGATCGACTTCCAAAGCTCGCGACCCTAGACAGACCGGACAACATGGCGATGGCATGAAAATTTCCTCTCTCGTCTACCGACGCAATGGTTATAATCTTCGCTACGAAAGCGGTGGGTTTGCCTGGAGATACATCTACAAGAAAGGTGGCTTAGCCTGCTCTCTTAGTCGGATTAACGAGAAGAACCTAAAGAAGATCAAGGAGAAGGATAAAGGCAAACCCAGGACTCACAGGCACCACGCCTGGGAGGATGTTTGCTTGGTGATTGCCGACACGGGGAAAACTAAGGACATTCGTGGATGGGAGGTACAGGGCAAGCAGCTCAACGTCGTCGACTTCAAGAAATGGATCATCGTCACCCTCGATATCAATCCGCCAAGGGATATCATTCGAACGATACACGGGGATCTCATCCGTGATCCCAGCTACCAGGCGCGTATGTACCTACGTGGTCTTTCATTGCCGCGCGGAGGAAAGCAGGGAGACCAGTACGCGTATGGTTACAACTTCAATGTCGGAAATACCAGTGCCGACCGCGATGCGCTTTCTGGCTCAGCAGAAGAGAGCGATGGTATCACCGCCATTTGGTCAGCTGCAATACGCGCAGATGGGTCGACCGATTCAGATCTACTGTCAGACTATACCAAGCTGCTTCTGAGTTCGATCAGTAAGAAGGGCGATGTCATGATGTTCACCAACGACGATGGTTCTGAGTCTATGCCTCGAGATATCGCCAAGAAGGTCTGGGAGAAGATGTTGACGCTCAACACGGACGCCGAGGGTCAGGCCGCCTTCTACTATTCAGCTAGCGAAGGCAACAATGTAAGCGAACAAGCTCTGTTGAAAGAGACTCTACTAACTGTAGCTTTCCAGGAAGTTCACGTCATCGGCAAGAACTTGCGCAGAATTCCTACTCCAATCCACCCCGACTTGTGGAGGATCTTGAGGAAGTATTCTCTTTGCAGAACGCCACGCGAAGAGCTACTCCATCGCTTTGAGTTTGCGGAGGTCGTGAGTTCTGGACCGGACACTATTTTTGCGACAAGCATGCGCACAATGCTTCAATGCTTGCTACTCTCTTCTCCAGCCACCCAAGAGATGGAGCTTACCTTCGTGAACGGCGAGCATTTGAATATCGACGCTGGATTCTTCGCAGGTACCTGGAAAGTTCATAGCAAGTGGCTTACATGGGAAGGCGCACATGAACAAGCATTCTGCGAAGAGGACGAACTGGGGACCTTTTCTTGCGATCATGCAGTCCTGCAGCTATGGGACATCATGATCTCTCAGCTTATCGCAACCGGTGGACATCCTCGCATAGCTACTGAAGAACGTTGGCTGAAGAGTATGGCAAGGATTCGCTTGTCGCAGATGCCTAGGTCAGTCGAGTGCCGTCAGACACAGAACAAAGGCGAGCTTGTGGTCACGTGGGAGTCCACAGACTCACACAGGCATAAACACAAGACGGTTAGGGTCATTCTACACTGGGGCGGCTGTGATCTCGTAGGGACATTGGATGAGAACTGTCTGAACCATGACGGTAAGTATCACATGAGGAATATGAAATCCACGTCCATTCAGGCTAACGGCGACCAGATCAGGGTTGTTCCTGCCCAAGTCAGATATCCCAGGCTGTCAGCGACGGTGTTACCTTCCCTGGTTTGGATACTTATGAATTGTATTACCCTCTCGTATCCCGAGACGCTGAGGGTGCGTTTCTTGCTGGACCTCAAAGCTCGGTAGCGCCTCGCGAGCATAACGTTGCTGTTCCACGTACTCCCAAAGCCAATACAACACCTATGCTAAGTAAGTCACAGCGATTCGCTGTCGATCTTGCTGGGTATGCTGACACAACCAGGTTCGGTCGAGTCTGGTCCACGCCCTACAACTGCAGACGCGATCGATCCGCGTAACAACGACCAAACTCCTTACGTCGACGAAGACGATAAAATGGAAGACAACGCCGATCTCTACCGATCTCCAAGTCGAAGTGCATCTTCATCAGCTTCATCCTCAGTTCCATCTCCACCAGCGCCGCTGAGACGCAGCAACGTAGTAACGGTAGACTTGACAAAACGTTCGAAGAATGACACCTACGGTCAGTATACCTAATCATTATAGTCTTCTCTTCTTGGACTGACACATCACAAGTTCCCGGCACTAAAGTTGAGCACAAGTCGCTCGATTGGGGTGGTAGCTTCCCTGGAAGCCACGACTTCTACCGAACCCGCGACGAGCCAGACCAAGAGATATACATCCTCAAACCCAAGATCAGCACGATGAAATCACGTAACAAGAGAATGCTTTCTGGAGCCACCGAGCGCGGTGGTGCGAAGAGATTGCGCACCAACATCGTGACTAACCGGGAGGACTCGTCGGCATCCAGCAAGATTTCGGGTGGAGAACTTGAGGATGATACAGACACAGATAGTCGACCCAGTCCCTTCCTGCGTCGTGGTGAGTCTGCTATGACCCTGCGACCGGAGAGACGTATGAATTATCGTGAGGGTCATCCACGGCAGGGAATGCGATGGTGATGGTTAGGTATCTCGGGCAGCAGCTGGCGAGCGATCGTTTGAGGCATCTCATTGGATACTTCTCGGGAGGTCTTTGCACTAGGTCGGTTAACGTACCGTGTCCACGCGAAGAGGCCTCGAGACGCCATCCTGCAGGGCCATCGGGCCACGCTGTCAGCCCTAGTCTACCCGTACTGCATCGACACTGCATTCGCGTATGTTTCTAGCGTACCTGAAAGCCTCTATTCAGCGTGCTATTCGAGGAATGAAGTGTTCCTGTCGTCAGTGTGGCTAGCTTGTATGCCCCTGGCACGCTGGCGCCCCTTGTCACTGGCCGGGATGCACATAGTCCTCTTGAGCTATCTCAGTCTTGCATGCATGACAGGGTCTCAATATAGCGTGAATGGATATGTGCCTTGCAGGAATGTTCATGTTTCGTGCAGTTCGCATGGAAGCGATAGATTCGATGGTGCCGCTTGCTGCAGTGATGCGTGATGCTAGCACACTACTAATAAAGCACTTTATATCCGTGAGATATGCAAAGCTATATACTAGAAGTATCGCGAATAGTATGACCACAGTGATGTTGTTCCAAAGAAAGCCCAAGCTCGCGGTGGCTGCCGAGCTTGACACAGCACCACGTTGCGACTATACGTATATCCTGGACTGACCAGGACAGGCTACTTGTGATATCTCTCATCCCTTTTCTCTCCTAACATTACAAGATTTCAACATCTCAACGTGGTGTCGGTCTGCACTTCAGATTCACTCATCGCGCCGCATAGCTGAATCGGGTTAGCATGCTACGGCCGCCGCCATCTCGCTTAGATGCGGCGACCTCTCCAACGGCCACGACAATCGGAACCGTCGGTGACGACTGCGCAACGCTTCAGACGTCGATATCAGCAGATAGGCAGACGATTAATCACCCGCCATGTCCAATTGGAGCCATGGCAGCCGGTGGAAAGAACATCGGGAAAAGCGACGGAGCTTGCCCGTCGCAAAATCTTGCTCGATGAGGAAACAACCTCCACGAATGCCCCGCGCCTAGTCTACAGCGAACACAACGACATGGCCGCTTTCGGCCCACTATACTCACTAGCCACTTGTGGTGCGAGTGATAGTAGTAGTGCGTGATGATATAAATACGCAATGCGATGGTCTTGGATGGTCATCGCTGCATCAAACCTCTCCCACTTCTATGCTCTGCGACGATAAACCGTGGTTACTGAACAACATGTCGTCGAGCAAGCCCTCATACCTCGTCGTTGGCGCCGGCGTCTTCGGCATTTCGACTGCTTACCACCTTATCAAGAAGTACCCAGACCGACAAGTTACCGTTGTCGACCAGGATGCTTGGGACGCCGATAACCGCGTAGCAGCTTCATGGGACTGGAACAAGGTCGTGCGCGCCGACTACGACGATGTCATCTACTGCAGACTTGCTCTCGAGGCTCAAGATGTTTTCAAGGAGGATCCATTATGGCAGCCATACTTCCACGAGACTGGTATCTTCTGGGTTTGCCGTTCAGATTACGCACAAGAAGTCATCGACAACTACAAGAAGCTCGGACGCGAAGCAGACTTGCAGTCAGTCACCATTGAGGAGGCGAAGAAGTTGTTCGGCGGACTTTTCGAGGATGCGAACTACGACGGCGCAAAGAGTGTACTCGTCAACAAGACGAGTGGTTGGGCACAAGCCGGCGACGCGCTAAGAGCAGTTACCAAGTGGTCGATCGCAAAGGGCGTCAAGTACATCACCGAGAAGGTCAAGGACCTAGATATCGACAACACCGGCCGATGCACAGGTGTCAACACCGAGCAAGGCAGCACCATCAAAGCCACGCACACCATCCTCTCAACTGGCGCCTACACCGCCAAGCTCCTCGAGCAAGCCGCCCAGAAAAGCGGCAACCCCAACCTGCGTTCTGGCTCAAGAATTGTCGCTGGCGGTATAACAACCGGCATGACGACTCTAGACGAGAAGTCATACGAGAAATTCAAGGACATGCCCGTTGGTGTCCAGGGCTACACCGCCGCATACGGACCCTTCATCGGAAGCTTACCGCCTACCAAGGACCGCGAGCTCAAGTGGTGGGGCGAGAAGATCTTCAAGCATACACATGAAGTACTACCCGGTCGCTTCGTTTCTGCGCCGCCGTCTGGAAAGGATTATAACCAGTGGGATGTGCCTGGCCCGTTGAAGCTGGACATCGATCACGCGAATGATGTGTTTTACGGGAAGAAGGGCGCGAATTGGAAGATGGAGAAGCATCGCATTTGCTGGTAAGCTCTAAACTCATGTACCCTCTACCTTCACAGTACTAACATCACCCAGGGATGCATTCACGACTTCATCCGACTTCATCATCTCGCCGCACGCCGGTGCCAAGGGTCTCTACGTCGCCACATGCGGCTCCTTCCACGGCTACAAGTTCTTCCCTGTACTCGGCAAGTACGTCGTACAGATGCTGGAAGACGAGCTGGAACCAGCACTCAAGGAGAAGTGGGCATGGGATCGTGAGAGGCCGGCGCCTAGTCTCAACCCCGACTGGCCTAGGTTCGAGATGACGGATTTGATGGACCAGTGGCCAAAGGCCAAGTTGTAAGATGTATCGATGGGATTTGATGAAGTTAATGAGCGGATATTGCATATGTGCATGGCGCCTGGGCTGGCGTTTACATTTCTTTTACATAGCGGATGTTGTGAATAACAATCCTACTTTTCCACCTCGCAATCCCATCGCCGTATGCCAGCGTTCTCCTCAAGTTCCACCTCGATCTCATCGACCCACTCATTCATCTCTTCCAGATATGCCGTGATCTTGCTCATACAGCGTTTGAAGTGTCGCTTTTGCTCTTCGTCAAGCGTTCTGAACTTATCTTTACCCCACGTACCCAAGTAAACATACTTCATATCTTTTAGCGGGCTCATCACGTTTCCGGTAAGACAGTCCATTCTTTCGGCTTCGGTGGTGAGGGAAAAGAACGGATCGAGGAAGCAGCCATGAAAGTGGAGCTTTTCCAGAGGACCGGGGCCGCACATCTTGGGTGTTTAGAGGAGATTGCGGTGAGGGAATGATGTCTGAGTTGGGGAAGACAAAAGGGCGCGAATGGATTTTAACTTGAACAAACATTCGTGCAGCCACCATATGGCGCTTTCTCACATTGTTGGAGCGCAAACATTCGGTCATGAAAGGGTACATACGCTTGCGTGCTAGAAGATGCGAGCAAGCACACGCCGTATATACCGCGAGCGAACGTACTACATCTACCCATCACCGTCTACTTCATAATGTCGTCTCGCACAGTTGGAAATGACTCCAAAACTTTCGCCGACAACTTCGCAATCACAGAGCTCTACACTGCGGTCCTTAGGTTTCAGCGCGTATGCCTCGGTAGAGATGCTGATGGCAGCATGATCGAGACATACAACCGAGCGAAACACCCTACTCTAAGCGCGGGTAACAAGAGCCTTTTCAAAATGACTGCGGCGCATATGCAGAATGTTCTGAATTGGGGTAGAGATATCGGTTTAGACATGACAATTGAAGAGGCTGGTGACATCGGAAAACAAGGACTACCTGATCTGCCTGGTTGGGTATTGGGAGAAGAAATTAAGAAGAGCAAGCACGGTGAGGATTGGTTGCAGTGGAGTAAGTAACTCTTCATCGTGTAGCATATACATGTTGATTTGATTCATATTTACATCGAAGCGTCACACCTACAGTAGGTGCCGACCAATTTTCCTTCCCTCCTCTTCGCATGCAAGACACGTCTAAGCAGTGAGCTTGCTCTTGATGAAGGTGAGGGCCTGGTTTCCGTAGATGCTGACGTACTGCTGGTGGTGGTTGGCGTCGTTTCCGTTGCAGCAGTATGGGTCCTGGGAGTCGCAGTAGCTCTGGATGATGCTGGTGCTGGCGGGCGAGCAGGAGAATCCCGAGGGGCGGGCGGCGAACTGAGGTAGATGTTAGTAAGAGTAACTGTAGATGAGAGAAGGGTAAACTTACGCCTTGCGCCTTGCAGGTACCGACGTTGTAGGGGAGACCGTTGCGGTTGTGGGGGTCACCCATGAAGATTGCGGCCTTGACGGCTGCCAGGGCGGTGCCGGTCAATGTGGAACCCGCGCCGCCGCAGACGGCGTTGTCCATGATCTGACCTCCCTGCGGACCGTTAGTACTTGGCACTCTTGGACGTCATGGCACCAGTCATACCTGAGAGTATCCGATAAGAACGATCTGAGTGTCAGGGCACTTTTGGTTGTAGGCAGTAACAGCCTTGACAACCGCTGCAGTTCCCTGGGAAGCAGAGTTGTCGTAGGAAATGCCTCCGCAGGCAGATCCTCCACCACAAGCTGGGTATACGATGGCCTCAGATCCTGCACCGGGGTAGGCGCTCTTGACGGAGTTTACGAGCCCAGCGGCGGTACCGTAGCCATTGCTTTGAGGCAGTGTGGTCTCACGAGCTCCGAAGATGTAGACCTTGGGGCAACTCTGGCGCTCGACAAGCTCAACGGGGCCGGCGGCGGCGAGACCCGCAAAGAGAGCTGTTGCTGCGGCGAACTTCATGTTGACGTTTGGATAAGTGGGTACTTTGCTTCGGATGGAGATGAGATGTCAAGGGAGCGTGATGATCAAGTCTGGGCAACGGGAGAAGTGTTTATAAAGACCAGTTTCACCTGGCCATAGTAGCAGTCCTTTAGGCAGAATCAGTCTGCCTCGACTATACCTCATAGCGTGGCGGTGGGGTACAGGATACTGGTTTGCATTCTCCTGGTGCACAGATGGTCCTTTCATCCGTCCTCGCAATTTATCTGAGCAAGTCACGCCGTCCTGTGACGAAGATCCGACAGGGATTATTGCCGTAGCTCCACGTCCATCTCATGCAGAACCAAGCCGACCTCGTCTGGGGTACATATGAATCCCAGTGTCTTCGGGGGAAAAGCGAGCAAGCGAGCGAGTAGAGAGCTGCAACGTATAGTGCCTTCGGCACATCGCGCGCTGGATAGATGGATGGCGTTA